ATGTGGATTTTCTTTCTATAATGATGATGTTCTAACAAGGATTTTGTCCTAATATATAAGAACATAAGAACGGCCAGACTGGGTCAGACCAAAGGTCCATCTAGCCCAGTATCCTGTCTTCTGACAGTGGCCAATGCCAGATGCCACAGAGGGAATGAACAGAACAGGTAATCAATAAGTGATCCATCCCCTGTCGCTCATTCCCAGCTTTTGGGAAACAGAGGCAAGGGACACCATCCCTGCCCATCCTGGCTAATAGCCATTGATGGACCTATCCATAAAAACATAAGAATGGCCATACTGGGTCAGACCAAGGGTCCATCCAGCCCAGCATCCTGTCTGCCAACAGTGGCCAATGCCAGGTGCCCCAGAGGGAGTGAACCTAACAGGTAATGTTCAAGTGATCTCTCTCCTGCCATCCATCTCCATCCTCTGACAAACAGAGGCTAGGGACACCATTCCTTACCCAGCCTGGCTAATAGCCATTAACAGTTATTGGGGGGGGGGGGAGATAGCTCAGTGGTTTGAGCATTGGCCTGCTAAACCCAGGGTTGTGAGTTCAATCCTTGAGGGGGCCAGTTAGGGATCTGGGGTAAAAATCTTTCTAGGGATTGGTCCTGCTTTGAGCAGGGGGTTGGACTAGATGACCTCCTGAGGTCCCTTCTAACCCTGATATTCTATGATTCTATGAAGGGACTTAACCTCCATGAATTTATCTAGTTCTCTTTTAAACCCTGTTATAGTCCTAGCCTTCACAACCTCCTCAGGCAAGGAGTTCCACAGGTTGTCTGTGCATTGTATGAAAAAATACTTCCTTTTGTTTGGTTTAAACCTGCTGTCTATTAATTTCATTTGGTGACCCCTAGTTCTTGTGTTCTGAGAAGGAGTAAATAACACTTCCTTATTCACTTTCTCCACATCAGTCATGATTTTATAGACCTCAATCATATCTCCTCTTAGCTGTCTCTTTTACAAGCTGAAAAGTCCCAGTCTTTTAAATCTCTCCTCATACGGCAGCCGTTCCATATCCCTAATAATTTTTGTTGCCCTTTTCTGAACCGTTTTCAATTCCAATATATATTTTTTGAGATGGGGTGATCACATCTGCACACAGTATTCAAGGTGTGGGCGTACCATGGATTTATATAGAGGCAATATGATATTTTCTGTCTTATTATCTATCCCTTTCCTAATGATTCCCAACATTCTGTTTGCTTTTCTGACAGCCACTGCACATTGAGTGGATATCGATATAGCGTTGCAATCTTAGCTCTTGTAAGTAAGTTTTTTGTCTGGGAATTTCCTTAGTTCCCCTCCTCCCCCTTCCAAAACAGTGTTTGTACAGCACTTAATACAATAGCATCCTAGTCCCAGATCCTCAAAGCTATTTAGGTTCTTAATTTCCATTGACATTTATTATGTAACCCTTCTGCCAGTCAGCGTTGACAGAAACAAGGGCCGGGTTCAATATCTAGGGTTCAGTATCAATACAATGCAAAACCGACTCGAGCCCCCACCCAGTGACCGGGGACAATTACACACCACCGCCTGGGCGCCTTTAAGAGGCAATACTTCTCCTTTTGCTAGCACAGTGTCTGAGTGTAGCAAAAAAAATTTTAAAAAGGAGGGGAGTAACTCAGCATTAATTTGGGAAAACACCACAACTAGGTTCATAAACATAAACGCTGAGCAAAAGACCCACCCCAAGTAAGTTGGGTGGTGTCCTTTCCTCCTCAGGTTCTTAAGACCAGCAACCCCAAAGTCCCTTTAACACGCCCGTCCCTTCTCTGCACCCCACTCACAGCCGCTGTCCTTGGTCAGTGCAGTCCCAGACTCCAGAGGTGCATCTGCAGAGTTCACTTCCCATCCTGGGTGGAAGCCGGGGTAAGGAGGCACCTTACACGCTGCACTGCTCGGGCACTCACTTGCCACCCCGCCAGCCAATTTCTGCACCTCTCTGTGGGGCTCTGCTCTGGCCCTCTCTGCCAGCCACCCTGCTGGCCATTCCTCTCCACCAGCTGCCCTGCTGGCCGCTTCCCATGCCTCTCTGCCAGCCACCCAGCTGGCCACTTACCACACCTCTCCGCCAGCCACCCGCCCACTCACCAAGAAGTCTTTGGGGCCCACCACTTAACACAGCTCAGTTTTAAGCAGAACCCCAATATCTATCCCCACCCTCTCTCTATTTATTGGGCTTTGGAACCCATGTCCCCTGCCTAGCGAGTGCCATTCAGTTGAGGGTGAGTCCCTCCATCGGGGTATGCCAGGTACAGTTCCGCTGCCCTTGATTCACGCAACAAAGATAGCAACCCTTTAATACTCCTGCCCCAATAACAAGGAGAGTGGGGATCCAGCACGAGCCACAAGTGATCATTTGGGCAAGAAATTCCATCATGCTGAGTATCAAGGCAGGGTGGGTGTGCCCATGCAAACGAGATCAACTCCTGAAGTCCTTTTCCACAGTTCACCACTAGATGTCAGGGGGGAGCTCATTCAGACTTTGCTTACATTTATTATCGTAACCATCCTCTGCTATGCATGCGCTTATTTCTTATTACTATTATTAATGAGTCACTACATTTTGGAGAAAAGAGCTAGAGAAAAGGCCAGGTCAAACTCCCTGCAATTAGTTAAACTCTGCAGGAATTTGTGTTTGTTCATGAAGCTTTCAGCTGTAGACATCCAACATCCTGGTTAGAGCTGGGGGAATAAATGATTTTTTGGATCATTGACAACTCTGAAAAGTTGCAGGGGGGGGGGGAATTGTTTCAGATCAGACTGAAAACAAATTAAAAAAAAATTTGGCCAATCAAAAAGTTTTTAAAAAAACTGTTTAAATTTTGAGCATTGTAAAATATTTTTGAATTTTTAAAAAAATGATATTTAAGGAAATTTCCAAAGAAAAAGTCATTTTGAGCCAAAATAGCCAAACATTTTGTTATGAAAATGTTAAAATGAAATGTTTTGATTTTTTCCCGTGCAAGGAACAATTCACAAAATGCTTTGGCATTGTTGAATCTTCACTTTTCACCAGAAAAAAAGTTTCAGTTGAAAAATATCTCCCAGCTCTAATTCTGAGTCAGACAGACACTTGCATAGCCAAGCGTTCACCCGGCAAAGCATTCAAGCATGTGACTTTATGGGGCTAGTTTTAACGCTGATTTTCATGGGGCTATTCAATGTGCTTAAAGCTAAGCACGTGTGCACGTGATTTGCAGATCGGGGCCATGTCCTTAGAGCGCCTTAAGTTGTCATTTCTCAAATGTGTTGTGAATGCAGCTCTGGGGGTTGCCAGCACTGATTTCTGGGGAAGCTGCTGTTTGTTTCGCGAGGGGGAATGATTCAAATGTGAATTGTACAGGGAGAAAATTACCTTCGCTGGCACTTGAGGAGGAAAGGCTATAGATTGGCTAGGGCAGCTCGGCATTCCAGGCCGTGATTACCAGCCTCTTTGTGGTCACTTTAAAAAAAAAACACTCAGTTACATGGGACAAAAAGATGGATGAGTCCTTGGTTAAAAGCCCATGTCTATACTAATGCTATGGAACTACAGTCAGGGGTTGTCCATTGTTGTAGTTAATCCACCTTTCTGAGCGGCGGTAGCTAAGTCGATGGATAAATTCTTCCTTTAGCCTCGCCGATGTCTGCATCGTGGGTTAGGTTGACCTAACTGTGCCGCTCACGGTTTGACATTTTTCACAGCCCTCAGCAATATAGTTGAACCAATCTAATTTTAAAGTGTTGATCAGATCTCAGACTCAGCAGTGCGAGAATGCAGCATTTCTTAAAGGAAAAAAAAAAGCAAAAAAACCACCACTTTTTAATCAATTCAACTGCACAAAAAATGAAAATACACAAAACCAAAACAGCCATTGGATGAAACTTCTCTGACTTTTATAATTACAGAATAGAAAACAAATCCCCATTTCACATTACAAATATGGTCTTATAAAAACAAACCAACTCAAAAAAGATCTCAAAGCACCAGTGCCTATATCCTTCAAGTTTAAAAAGAGGGGGGAGGGCAGGAAGGGGGGGTTAGGAAGTGGAATTTCTTTCTACCAAATTTTAAATAACAGGTTTTTTTCTTTCTTGAATAAATACCCACACAGGTGACAATCCAGGAGGAGGATCGGTGCTTTTCTTTTACAAGTCTACACTGAAACCTGGAATTATATTTCATCCAGGCTTTAGTTTGTTTCTTAAGCAGGGAATAGAAGCGCAGACCTTGTCCGTGCAGTTTACCCAAGTCTACAGGGCTTTTTGTGTTAGATCTTGGTGCAGTCTTTATCTTCTGTCAGCAACTCCACCGTGTGAGATAACCAGTTTGCATCCCCTTCTGCACTGGATGGACCGGCCAGTCCTCAAAGGAGCTTCCATCTGGGGGAGAAGAGAAAGGGCGCACTCCCTGTCTCAGGCCCAGATTGGTAGCAGCAGCTAAGCAAAACTTTAAACTAAAGCTGAACTCGAAGCACGTTAGTTTCCTCGTTGACATCTATGGGGCGTAAGGGTGAGCATGCACCTAAGACCACAACTCAGCACGTGTTTCACTCTCATGGTGTGCTTCAATGGGACGTGCGTGAAGTGAAGTGTGTGATTAGGGATGCTTCCCTCAATGGAACAGACGTGCCAGACCATCAAAGCTATTTAAGTGCCTGTCTCATATTAAAACCAATGGGAGTTAGGCACTCAAAGACCTCTGAGGAGCTTGGCCTAAGTGCGCTTGACAGGTAACTCAGGATAGGGTGGGGAGCAGGTTGAAATTAATAAATCAAAAGCGCCACAGAAAGGCCAGTGGGGCTGAGATGTGGTCATTGCTGCCCCTGCTGGCTCGGTGGGAGACTCGTCCAGAGGCTTCCCGTCGCGTTCGGAGCATCGCTGGCTTGGCTGACTTCCCCAGGGTCAGCGGGGAGGTGGGATCTCACCCACAGAGCCAGTCACTATTTCTTTTCTTTTTTTTTTTCTTTAGAAAACAGCTGTTTTGACTCAAAATTGTTGCCTGAAAGGTTTTAAACTTCCCGGGGTAGGAGCAGCCAGTTCCCTGCCTTGCCGGGGAAGGGGGAGCGGGAAGCGGTGAAGGCCCAAGCAGGGGCCCTGTGGCTTGTGACACAGGCCAGGACTTAGAGAGACCCTGTGCGGTGACACGTGGCAGCACAGGCTGGGAGCCAGAGCGAACCGCAGGGTCTGGCTGTGTCCAGCCGCCTCACTGTTTGTTACTGCCAAGGCCTCTTTTTCTCCAGCAAGATATTGTCCCAGCCCGGCTGTCTGCTCCCGCCATGCCCTGGCACTGCCACGCCCATTCCCCATGCCCCCTGCACTAAGCACCCTGGCCCAGATCCTCCAAGGTCGATGGGTGTTCAGAAGTAGGCCCTCCCTCCCCATCTAGCTTCAGGTGCCCCCCACCCTCTGCGGCGCAATAACCCTGACACAGTGATCAGCGCCCGCTGGAGGAGACGGACGCGACACTAGGGGAACCACGTCGTGCCGTTGCTGAGAGCCTGGGACCAGGCGGCTCAGAGGGACAGCTCGCTCCGCTTGCCCTGGGCGAGGGCCAGGAGATGAGTTGCGGCAGGACCCAGAGTGGTTTCCTGGGCAATCTGGGTCAGCTGCAGTTTTTAATAGGAGCCAGTTTTGCTCCGGAGCAAGGAGCAGATCTAGGCAGACATCGGTGTCTCCCAGCCTCTGGCCCGGGTAGGATTCAGATCTGTGTGACTAGCGCGCTGAGCAACTCCTCTGTGCTGGGAGCTGCTGGCCACCGCCCTGGAAGCTCCACACAATCTGTCCCACCTGCACAGCTCCAGACCCCTCTCCTTGTTGCCCGAGCCCCATGGCGGGGGAGAGCCCGTGAGCGGAGCAGCAGGCAGAGGGCCCTGGCTGGTGCACTGGCTGGAAGAGCTGTCACTGGTCCATGCCTGCTGGGGTTGTCTAGGAGTGACAATCCTTTGATTTCAAAATGGGAATTGTTTCAAACAAGCTGGGTTTTTCCGGACAGATTCCTCCCCAAATGGAAAGGGATCAAAGGGAAGGAGATGGGAGTGCGAGGGGCTGCCGGGGTCATTTCCGGAGGGATAATGACAGGCAAAGCTCCATGTGTCCCTCCTTCCTTTGGTCTCTTTGTTCCCAGGCAACTCAGGAATGGCTAATGTCTCTGCTTATCCACACCCTGTGCAGATCTGGGCCTGTGGACGGCTCCTGGGTCACAGGATGCAAACGCCTGCAGGTATTCCCCCCTCTTCGCCCCCCCGCAGCCTGGCAGCCAATGGCTGAGCCCGGCGTCTGTTTAGAACAACATTCAGAGCAGCCTAGCACTGTTGTTAATGGTTCGTTTCCAAAGAGTTTCTTCCTTGTTCTCTGTCGCTGAGAAACGTGGCTCCCAACTAGGGACCTGACCCAGCGGGGGGCTCCAGGCCAAGTGGCAGGACGAGGCCCCTTGCCAGGTAGGAAGCCCTGATTTTCTTTCAGGGTTTTCACAGGCTCTGAAATTAACGTGGAAACCGCGTCACCTACTTCCTTGTTAAACTCTGCATTGGCCTGCACTGCTGATGTGGGGCCCAATCCTACTGAACAGCACTGATTGCTGGCCAGCGCTCTGACTACCACATGGGCTACATCCATGGTGGGGGGGGTACCTCCTTACACCCCTGCATGGGCTACCTGCATCACTGGTGCAGAGACAGCGGTGGGAGTGAGGCCACTACTCCCCTGCCCATGCAGGTGAGCAGAGATTGGACGGGCAAGGGTGGGAGTGGACAGAGCTGACCCTGCCCTTTGCAAGGCACTGGCCAATGCACAGCGGGCATGGAGGGGGAAGTCTGCTGTGCCAGCTAAAGGACTGGCACAGATACTTTACCCCTGGAGTAAACAGGGAGCAAACATTGACTATCTGAGTCACACTTCAGCCCTTGCCCTGGGCCAGTGTAAGTACATCCTAGCTCTTCCCCAGTGCTTGTGGGAAGGCCCCAACGTAGCCCGTATCAGCACTACGCTCAGTAGCAGGATCAGACTTTGCCTTTGTTAGCTGCCTTGCACATTGCTGGCTGCACCGCAGCAGCAGAGTAAATATTGTAGGTCCTGTATAAACAATGATTCAGTGACTTGGTGAACAATTACAACCCCGCACCCCAATCCCTGTGGCAATTTTGAATGCAGAGCTATTTCCCTACTGGATTAAAGGCAGGTCGAATTTCAGGCCTCAACTGCTTGACGGGGTCTTTTAAGCAGGTGATGCATGATTTGTAGCGTTCACAGTATCCCATATTGTTACAACAGCACCTCCACATGGGCCGGAGGACTTAAGGTTCCATCGGCTTTTCCTTTCTAAACCCTTGGGTTGGATGGTTTGCTGCCGTAGTAGAAACGCACTCCCGGGGGAATTTAGTGCCAAAGCGTCTCAGTCCCAGAGAAAGAGGATATTAAAACCAAACCCGCCCTGACAGCACCAGCTGTGTGTAGCGGTAGCGTGCAAAGGAGCCGTGGGAACTCAAGGTTGCGGCTGGAGGGCCTAAAGGCTGACAAGGCAGACTTGGTGCTGGCACATGGCATTGAGAGCAAAAGGCTCTTTGCCTGGAAAACAGGGGAGGCAGAGGAGCTGGGCAGGGCATAGGGCAGGGGGTTGTTGGGCGGAAGGAGGCATGTTGGTGTGGTTTGATGCAGTAGGTTAGGGCCTATGGAAGGAGCCTGTTTCATAGATTTTGAGGCCGGAAGGGGTCACTATGATCATCTGGTCTGACGTCCTCTTGTAGCACAGGCTACGGACCTGCCCCGGGATAATTCCTGGAACAGATCTTGTCGAGAAACCTCCCATCTTCATAGAACGATGGCCAGCAATGGAGAATTCTAGAAAGGGACGTGTGAGCCTGTGGTAAAAATGCCTGGAATTCGGGGTGGAATTCCGGCTCCCCAGTTTGCTAGAGCACACGCAGCCGTAGTGAAGAGGACCTGGCCATGCTTCAAGAGGCACCAGGAGACTCTTCACACTCTTTCCTCCCTTAGGCAACAGCGAGACGAAGACAGGGAGGAGGACGTCTTCTGGAGAGAGGAGTCTCAGAAGCCCTCCTGGAAATGTCCTGTTAAATCAGCTCTGATCTCTTCAGAAAGTCCCCGTTGCTGGGGACCAGCCCCTGCCTATGCTGCAGGAGAAATTCTGCACTAAGTAGGCTGGGCTAGGTGCTAGGGCCTTATGGCCTCTGGTTTTATGAAGCCACTTAACTCTCCCCTGACACGAGCCCGGCTGTTCCAAGCACATCACCAGCATTTCATTTCCCAGCATCATTGCTCTGGTGCTTTCCAAAGCCCCTTACTAAGGTGGGTGAGTATTACCGTCCCCCTTGTACAGACAGGGATGCTCAGGCAGCGAGAGAGGAAGCAGCCCCACCAAGAAAGCAACCCAGGTCTCCTGTCTCCATCCAATGGGGAATGTGGCTTCTAGGTTTGCACCGCGCCATGCTTTCCAATTCTCCTCCTGCCCCAGCCTCTGACACCCCTCTGCTTGCCCATTCCACCAGAGATGGGCTAGAACGTCCCCATGGGGTTCTGAACTTGCTCTGAGTTTGGGGTTCTGGGGACCTAGGATTCCAGTAAGACAGCAATGTGCTTCTTGAGGCTGCAGGCACGAGCCAAGGAAGAGGGTTGGCCTGGCCCATGTTGACAGCGGATTTGATGCTCGCTGGCTAAACTCCTGAAGCCCTAAGTAGCAAATGCCTGCAAGGCTCGAAGTGGCAGCAGCGCCCCCTGAAGTCACTGGGAGACCAGGTACGCAGCACCTCTGCCAATCAGACCCCAGTTCATTAGCTCCTTTTGTACATGGTGCAGGAGTTAGGAGCTAGACAATCAATTAAAGGCCTGGACACTTAGGCTCAGCTCCTCCAAGGGAGTGAACTGTCTCCACACCTTTGAGGATCTGGCCCTTAGAGATCAGACTCTGTCTCAGCAATAGCAAAGCTGCATCTGCAGCCCACCATGGGGCACAAAGTCACGCGCCCATCCTCATCTCACCCTCACTGGGACTGCAGTGGACGGCCCTAGCGCCAGCTCTGTGTGTACAAGTGTCCACATCAGAGACATCCCCACTGCAGCTGGCGCTAAGGGCTTGACTACACATGAAGTTATTCCTGATTAGGTCCGTGTGTAGACGCTCTTATTCCAGATCAAGCATCCTGTCTCCACTGCTGCTACTGCCAGGAGGAATGCCGGCGCCCAGGTTTGCTAGTGCAGATGCAGCCTTGGAGATGAGGATGTAGCAAGGGTTACAAAAGGCATCAGAAGACTCTTCAGATGCTTTCCTCCCTTGTGCAACAGTGAGCGTGCCTGGATTCCGGCTTACCCCTTCCAGGCACGCTTGTTCTGGAATAAGAGTGTCCATATATGGAGTGAATCAGGAACACTTCATTAGGAGCAACTCCATGTGTAGAGAGGGCCAGGTTGCGGACAGCCATGCCTTTTCCCCACTCGAGGGCACCCACGCTTATCAGCAGAGGGAAAGAAACACCGGCCATGTTGACCCAGGACATATAGGCCGACTTCATGATTGCCCATCCAGCACCGTTCTTAAGCATCAAAAGTCTCTCTCACATGCCCCTATCGTGGGAAAGGCCCAGCAGTGTAACCTGAAGACACAACACTGGCCTCAGTTGCCTTGACTTTCTGATATGTAACGTTATACCATAGGCAGGGTTGGGGGGTTCGCTTTGTTTGGCATTTCCTTGGTCTTTGGAAAACAATGTTGTCCTTGTATGGAGAGACTGAGCTGGGTCCCTTTAGATTCAGGCACTTATAC